CACTATGTGGTGCACACCCCTATGAGAATCTAACAGCACCTCTGATCTGACAGGAGGCGGAGCTCAGGCGATAATGCAAGTGATGGGGAGTGACTGTAAATACAGATGAAGCTGTGTTCATTTGCCCTCCATTCACCTCTTGCTATGTAGCCTGGCTCCTAACAGGCCATGGATAGGTTCTGGTCTGTGGCTCAGGACTGGGGAGTCCTGCAACAGTGGACTAAGACACCACTGTCTTCTAATTCTCCTTCTTAGTCCCTGGAAGCTCACTGAATCAGAAGGCATCAGTTCGGTCCTTGGCTTAGTGTTTACCTGGTTGTGCCATCTTGGCCAATTGACTGGCTCTCTCTGGGCCTCACACTCCTGTTTACAAAATGAGCCACTGTCTTAGTCCTTTTAGGTTGGGATAACAAAATACCACAGACTGGGTAATTCATTGAGAAGATTTAGGGGGCTGGCAGGTGGCATGGTAGATAAAGCACTGGCCTCCCAACATGGCCGATTGTGGTTCAAGTCCCAGCCTGGTGACTTGCTTTCTCACTCTCCCTCTCTCTCTGGCCTTCTAGGATTAAGGTTCCAACATATGAACTTTGTGGCCACCTTCAAACCACAGCAGCTGGGGGCCAGCTGAGTGACATCCTAGAGCCCACGTAATAGCTGGATCCCACGTGGCCGATCGCACAGTTCAAGCCCTGCACCCAAACCCACCAGGTGCTACTGCATGCATGCCCAACACCCTGAGAGGAGAACGGGAGAGAAAAGACCCAACATGATCATCCTCCCCGGGTGCTTTCTCACTCCCCTGGCCCCTATCTCCCTCTGGTGGGCACATGCACATGCTAGCAAAAATTAAAACAGAAAAAGACACACCATAGCCGCCCCATACTATTAATCCTGTATTATAGATGAGGAAATTGAGGTTCTGAGGGTCTGAGTAGCTTCCTCAAGATCCTGCAGTTTATAAATGACAGCAGAGATTTTGAAAAAGAATTATTGATTTAATTCTATTTGTTATTATTATCTTTTAAACTATTATTTTATTGGGGCCAGTAGTCGGTGTAATGGCTATGTCGGTGGACTCCCATGTAGTCTACCGCAGTTTGAGTCCTGGACCCGGTGGCTTAAACTCATGCCAGGCACGTGTGCGTGCGTGCCCAAGATCCCGAGAGGAAAATGGAGGAGAAGGGATTGTGGCGTGACCATCCCCCCTGGGG